TTAAAAAGAAAAGATTTTGTTCAAGGAATTTTGAATAATGCTGAGCAGGGAGTAACATGGTTGGATTTGTACTTTAGGAGGTTTCTATTACTGCAATGAAAAGAATGGATTGGAAGAGAGAAGAGAAGTATAGAAAGAAAAGCTAGGAGGGTCTTGGCAAAAATTCATGTGAAAAGATGGTAGATGAGGGCAACAGCAGAGGTGATGAAGAAAAGGGGATGAGATATCAGAGATTGCTGGAGAGGGGCTAAAACCAACAGGTTCCAAGGAATTTCTGGATTATGGGATATGTGGAGAAGGGAGTGGTTGCAGTTAATTTCTGGGATTCCAGCTTACAACCTGAGTGGGGATGGTCATTTGGGGGAGGAAGGAATGAGATCAGGTTTGCACATGATAAGGGGTCTGTGAGCTATACAGTAAAGAGCAGGCATGCAGCAGGTATGCAGGACTGGAGCCTAGACAAGAGATGTTTGTGAGTCATCAACCTACAGATGTTAATTAAAGCCTTGAAAATCAATGAAACACATTACCCTGAAGTGTGTATACAGTGAGACAATAAGGTTCAAGCTAGAACTTTAAGGAACAGTGACATTTAGGGGCATACAAAGGATCCCTCAAAGCAGACTGAGACAGAACAGCTAGGAGGAGCTCCAGGAGAGACACATACCATACTGTAACTTTCTGCTTATTTGTCTGTTAAATGTTGATACAATAAAATCATGGCTCAGAAGCCAAATGACAAGAACAACTCACAGAAAAAAGAATGGTCAATAATGTCAGCTCCTCCCAAGAGGTCAGGCAGTTAAGGACTTTTGAAAAGATCCTCCAGACTGAGCAGAAGAGATGTTACCCCTTTCTCCTAGGGAAAGCAGTTACATTTGAGGGGCAGGCACAAATGGGAAGTGAGGAAGTAGGAACAGCTATATGCAGAAGACTCTTTCACAAAGTGTGACGCTGAAGAAAGGTGAGGAAGCCTCTTAGCTAATGGGGTATTACAGGTTTAAAGAAAGATAGGCGAGGCTGGAGGATCTTTATGTCCTCCCAAGAGGAATGGGAGAAAGGACAGAACTGGAGACACCGAAAAGACAGGAAATAATCAGTTGAGTGAGGTCCCTGTGGAAGAGAAAGGGGATGGGATCCATAACATAGGTAGAGGATTGGCTTTAACTAGAAGAGACACTACTTCATTCTTCTAGGAAGGAAGGAGAAAAGATTGAAGAGGATACAGATAAAATTTGAGGGAGGAGGCAGAAATCTGAGGGAATTCAAACCAGATGGCCTCAATTTCCTCAGTGAGCCAGAAGACCAGGTTGTCCACTCTTAATTCCACCCTTTCCTTCACCCCTCATGTCTGCTTTGTCACTGAGCCCTGCCTAAAGAGCTCTTGAAACCATTCACCTGCTCTTTCTGTCCTGCCACTACTCCAGTTCAGGCCAGTGTTATACCCTCCTGAGTTTCTACAACAGCCAACTGTCCTCCTTCTCAGGCCCCTTCTGCAGTCTCCACATGGCTGTCAGAGTGGTATTTCTAAAAATGAATCTGATCATATTGCTCCACAGCTTCAAATGATTTGGTAACTCTCCATTATTCTTGGGTTAAAGGAATTTCTTTGTGGCCTCCTAGACTGTGCATGGTCTAAGCCTCCATTTAGCTCTCCCACAGACTCTCTCCCTCATGCTGTAAGTGTCAGGCTCACTAAACTGCTTTATCTCTCACACATACACTATTTTCTTTCACATGGGCTTTTACATGCTACTCCCTTGGCTTGTCATATTCTCCACCCACTCCATCAAGTTTAAGTTTAAATGCCACTTCCTCCAAAAAGCCTCTTCTGACCTCCCTACACTGGCCTAGGTTTCTCTGCTGTGTGCTGCAATGTTATAACACTCACTCCGCAGCCTATAAGCTCCAGAGGATAAGGACCATGTCCATTTTGTTCACCTTTGTATTGCCAACTCCTGTCACAATGCCTAGCAGAGTAGGCGCCTACTATGTGTTTGTTAAATGAATGAATTAGTGTATTGATTAATAAATCTACTGAAAACAATGGTGTGAGGGATGTGGGGTAATTGAGTGTGAAGAAAATACAGAAAAATTCATCTATTTACTTATGAAGGGCCCAGTTAAGGGTGGAGTTTTTTAGAAGTATGAATTTATGGAAGCGTCCCCTGGTATGGTTGAGAAGTCATTCTAGTTAGGGGCAATAATTTGAGGGATGAGCATAGAAGATAAGGGAATACAGTGGCCAAGGAATGGTTAAAGGGATGATCCTTAGCATAGGAGCTGGAAAGAAAGCACAAAGTCAAAAAGGAACAGAGTAGGAGGAAACAAAGAGGTCAAGGGCAAGAGGTTATTATGAGGTTAAAGAGTATAATGGGAGCAAGGGCATCTGAGAGCTGGAAGGATATAGGAGGTTGTGGGCAGAAAGAGGAATGCAAGAGTGTAGAATTTTAAAAGTGGAACAGTTATGCAGAATGGTCCTGGGAGGGAAGAAGAAGGTAACAAGAGGTAAGGATGTCAAGAATCTGTGGGGCTGTGGTGCTGAGGGACACTGAGAAACCATGGCAGGATATACTATCCAGATCTTGAAGTTTTCAGGGAACAAGAGGGTGAGCCTGGGAGGTCTATGGATGAGAAGGGGTGACGGTGTGATCATAAGTGGAGTTTATTCTGCAGTTGGGACAGTTCTTCTTGTGGTGTCGTGTCATTCATGACTATCTCCTGGGGGTTGTACAAGTAGCTGTGTGATAAGAGCAACTGTGGCACAGCCTCCTGTTAGTGACAGACCTCTGGGACACCCACTATGTATGGGCAGCTCCATGAAATAAACCTAATAAGATGTGCTGACTGTGACAGTGCTTCGGATGGATGTGGATTGCAGTGACAGTGTCTCCTGAGAGATGTGGGTGTATGTGTTTGTTGCTGGTGACAGTGTCTCTGGAGAGGTGTTGGCAGTAACAGTGTCTTCCATGGTATGTGCTGGCCTTGACAATGAGCCTGTGGGAGTATGTTGTTGCAACATTTCTGCTGTGGGTGTGTGTTGTATGCATGAGAGCATTTTCCGTAGGTGTGTGTTGGCTTGATAGCCTCAGCTGTGGGTGTGTGTTGGTTCTGACTGGGGGTGCTTCCTGGGGGTGGGTTTCCTGAAACTGTGCGATGGCTGTGAGGGTATCTCTTGAGGATGTGTGTTGCCTGGGACTGTGTCCTTTTCTGGGTTGAGTAGGGCTATGACTGTGTCCCTATGGGTATTTGAGAAGTTGACATAAGTGACAATATTTTTCTGGCCTATGACCTTGTGGCTGTGGGCCCAGCCCGCTACACTGAGTTCATTGTGCTTCTAGACCTCCCTCTCCCCACCCCCTCCACGTGGGACCCACGCCCGCGGTGACCTTGCTGTGTCCCCTGCACGGGATTCTGACCTGGGTATCCCTGACACAAACTCCCAGTTGCTCGAACCTCCCACTCAGAACACATCTGGGTGACCCCCCTCCATCCATTTCAGGCTGTGCCTGCCTCTCCCCTGCTTCTGGGTACATATCCCCCCTCAGTTTCTTTGTCTCTGTCTCAGTTGGTCTCTGTCACACACCCATCCTCCACATTCTGACACATGGGCTCCCACAGAGCGGGCAACACACCCTCACAGGGACTCGCTCCCCATGACACACGCTCATTCTGACCCTCACACCCTCAGAGTGACACGCACATGCACACAGAGCCAGAGAGACACCCAGGGACACACAACCTCCCAGTGACACGCACTGACACACTCCGACGATGCACTGCACACAACCCTGTCGCACCCCACACCCCCGGCGCACGCTCGCGCCGCCACCCTCCCCGACTCGATGACACACGCACACAAAGACCCCCAGGCCCTGCCCCCACGCTCACGTTCACGCTCGCCCGGGTCCCGCAGGCCCAGGCCCCCCCTCCCCCATTGTCTCCGGCTCAGAACAAAGCCCCCGGCTCCGCCGCCGCCGCCGCAGCCCCGGATAGGCAGGCGGGCAGGGCGGGCACCGCCGGACAGGCAGGGCGGGCGCGGGCACTGACCTCCGCGCGACGCGGGCTCCCTCGCCCCGCGCTGGGGCGCCGTCCGGCAGCGGTCAGCCCCCCGGGCGGCGCCCGCCCGCGCAGGGCCTGGGGCCGCGCATCGTCCTCCGTCGCTGTCTCCGAGGCCCGCGATCCCCTCCGGGCCGCCGCCGTCGGTCCGCGCACCCTTGGCCGTCGATCCGTCCGTCCGCGGACGCCCGGGCGCCGCCTCCTGCACAGCCGCCCCGCCGAGGATGCGAGCTTCGCCGCCGCGGCCCCGCGCCCCCTCCCCTCCCCCGCCCTCCGCGCGGTAACCCGAGCCCCCGCCCCTCCGCCCGCGGAGCCCCCGCCCCCGCCCCCACCCGCGCTCCGCGCCGCCGTCCCCCCTCCCTCCGGCGCCCGCCAGGCCTCCCTCCGCCCCTCCACTTCCCGGCCCCAGGCCCCGGCTCCGGATCCAGCCCCGGCGCCGCGCCCCCGTCCCGGTTCCCTTCCCTTCTCCCTGTCACTTCTCCCGTCCTCTCCTCCCATTCGGTTCTCTACGCCCTCCGGTCTCCTCCCTGCCGCTCCGCTCCCTGCTGCTCACCTCCTCCTCTTCCATCTTCTTTCCATCTCCTATTCCCCTCTTCTCCCTCACTGCCCTGGTCTCCCTCTCGCCCCTTCTTTCTCCCGACCGTCATCTCCATTTCCCTCGCCCTTTCTCCCATCCCCTTCTTCTCCCTTTCTCCATCCTTTTCTCCCCACCTCTTCTCCCCTTTCTTTTCTCCTCATCCTTTCTGCTCGATCTCTCTCCAGCCTCTTCACATCAGATTCTCTCCATCTCCTTCCCCACCTCTTCTCTGATCCTCTTCTTCCTAGCCCTTTCTCCCCGTCTCTTCTCCCCACCTTTCTCCCCATCCCCTTTCGCCTCACTTCATCATCCCCTTTTCTGCACGCCTTCTCCTTTCGCTTTTCTCACCCCCCTTTTCCCTACCCCCTATCGCTTCCCCTTCTTCCAGCGTAACCTCGGCCTTCTCCCGTTAGTCACTTTTCGTTATCCCATGATTTCTATCTCTTTTTTCTCCTTCACTCCCAGGTTCCCTTTCCCCCACCTTCTCTGTATCCCACATTTGAGGGTAAAGATCGGGAGATATTGGACCACCATCTGGGGATGGTGGTCCCACTCACAGTATACTCCCCAGAAAAATAAAGTGAGGAGGAAGCTGGGCAGGGAGGTGGGAAGGGACTCGAGAAACCAACTTGGGAGAGAATAAGGGGAGAGGGGAAATCAGACAAAGATGGAGAGCAAGCAATCTTAAAGGAACTGGGAGAGTTCCGATTCCTGTCCTTCTTCCTTAGGACTGTGAGTAGGCTGTGAGAAAATCAGGTTTTCTCGACTTGAGAGGTGTACAAATGGCACAAAGAAATCAGGAACTTCTGGGGAGAAAGAACAAAGTTTCAGTTGAAGAAAATCGGAGTGTGATTTTGGAAGAGGAGTGAGGGAGAGACTGGGGTCCTTGGTCATATCCACAGCTCTGGCTTGGGCAGTGGGGTGGATGGTGGTGAGGCTGGCTGTTCTCCACAAAAGGAGCAGGAGGAGGCTGCAGGGGGTTGGTGTGGGGAGATGATGATGTCACTTGGGGCTGCTGACTTTGAAGTGCCTGTGGGGAAGGTAGGTCTGCAACTTAGAGGAGCGGTCTGAGATGGACATAAATATTTGGGAGTCATCTGCAAATACCGTATAAGCTTGAATATAGGGTGAGGTTTTTGCTTTTTTGTTTTTCCAAAATCATCCCTCAGGAAAGAGGGAGTAACCTTATATTTGAGTCCTTACAAAGTCTCTCATATTACAGGGTTTGCTCTCATTTACTTTATTTTGAACAACAAACCACTGGATAGGGCAGTATGGTATGGTGACTAAGCTTGTGGACTCTGGAGCCAGACTCCCTGGCTTGGGGTCCAGACTCTCCCATTTACAAGCTGTGTGGCATTGGGGAAATTACTTAACTTGTCTCTGCCTTAGTTTTCTCATCTATAAAGTGGGCCTAAGGATTAAATTATGTAATATATGTAAAGCACTATATACCTGGCACTCTGTAGTAAGTGCCCAATAAATGCTACTATTTTTACTGTGTGGGTAAGACCCATTAACCTGACATGTCCGCAACAATGCTATTTTGGATGTATTGTAGTCAAAGAAAGTTAACACAGCTTTGGTAACTATTCCTGGTGGTATGACCTCATAACTGCATGTGTTGGATGTCTCAAAATATGCTTTTTAAAGATTGCTTTAAAAAGCAATACAGTAGTACTTGGAAGAGGTTTTTGGGATGCCAAAAATGTTCTATTTCTTGACCTGAGTGGTTATATGGATGTTTCCCTTTGACAGTTCATTGAGCTGAACACTTATGATGGCTTGTGCCCTTTTCTATGTAGATGTTGTATTTCAGTAAGAAAGTTAACAGAAATATAATTTTTAAAAAGCAATACATTAAATGATGTTTAGAAGTTATGAATATACACAGGCAGGATGCATGCCAAAAACCAACTGCCCTAGTGTGATGTGAATGAAACTTGTGACTTAGGATGAAGTTTCCAAGGACTCTATTATCTGTGAATTCAAACTGTGCTGTGTCCTATCCCAAGCGCTTCATTTAGGCTCAAGAGAAGGACTTCTGTTCTGGAAAAACATGTAAGATGGCTGAAAAAGTGATCCTAATGATGAGAAAGACACCGCTTTTGAGGATGCCTGTTAAGATTATGCATCAAATTGTTTAATAATGTTTATAAATCATACATTTTATGTGACATATGAATTTAAATATATGTACAATGAAGTCCATTAACTCACTGAAGTACACTTTTGATTGTGTCATCCTCATCCTTTTATTTTTTATTTTTTATTTTTTTTTTCATCCTCCTTAAAGGTTTACATTTCTAGGTTGGTTGAAAAGCTTTTTCGATCTTCTCACTGGGAAAAATGAAAAATTACGGTTTGGGCAAGACCCATTAACCTGAAATGTCCTCAACAACCCAATTTGGGTTGCTTTGTATAGTAAGTGTGACAGATGGTAAGTGAATCTAAGGGAGTGAAGGAGATTGCTGAGGGAGAGCACATCTATTAGGAAGAAGAGAAGGTCTAGGACTGATGCTAAGAAGCTCCAACATGTAAAGGCTGAGAAGAGGAGGAGCCCCCAAAGGAAAGTGAGAAGGCATGGCCAGACAGGGAGGAGAAAGAAAGGGAGATGAGTGGTGCCATCAAAGCCCAGGGAATGACCAAGGAAGAAGCCATGAAGTGAGGAGTGGTCATCAGGGTTGAATGACACAGAAGAGACCAGTGAGGTAAGGACTGAAAAGGATCAGTTGGATTTGGCTGGGGCCTAGGGGGTAGGCTGGTTACCTTGGGGACAATGTGGTAGGTGGAGTGGTAAGAATGAAAGCTGGTCAGCATTCAGTAATTAAGGAGTGAGTGTTACCCAGGCTAGAGTGCAGTGGCGTCATCATGGCTTACTACAGCCTCAGCCTCCTGGGCTCAAGTGATTTCTCCCACTTTAACCTCTGCACCCCCTACTTCCTCTCCACCGCCGCCCCCCGGCCCACTGATTAAAGAGACTACAGATACATGCCACCACCTGGCTAATTTTTTGTACTTTTTGTAGAGACAGAGTTTTGCCATGTTGGCCAGGCTGGTCTGAAACTCCTGAGCTCAAGCGATCTGCCCACCTTGACCTCCCCAAATGCTAGCATTACAGGTGTGAGCCACTGTGCCCAGCCTAGGTTTTTTTTTTTTTAATTTTAATTTTTTTGTAGAGTGTAGGGGGTCTTACTATGTTGCCAAGGCTGATCTTGAACTCCTGGCCTCAAGTGATCTTCCCACCTTGGCCTTCCACAATACTGGGATTATGGCATGGGCCACTGCACCAAGCCAGTACATCATTATTAACTAAATTCCAGACTTTGTTCTGGAATGTGTTCCCACTAATGTCCTTTTTCTATCCCAGGATTCAATCCAGGATACATTGCATTTAGTCATCGTGTTTAGTTTCCTCTGGTCTGTGACAGTTCCTCCATCTTTCCTTTTTTTTTTTTTTATTGACCTTGACAGTTTTGAAGAGTACTGGCCAGGCAATTTGTAGAGTATCCCTCGATTTGGATTTCTCTGCTGTTTTCCATGTGATTAAACTGGGGTGAGAGACTACCACAGAGCTGAAGTGCCTTCTCTCTATATTATATTGGGGGTACATGATATAAACGCAAATTTTCATGGGTAATGTTAACCCTGTAGTCACTGCATTAAGATCTCTCCACTGTAAGGCTACTTCCCCCCTTACCATATATATGTTCTTTAGAAGTGAGTCACTAAGTCCCATACTCAGGGAGGAGAGTAAGCTCCATCTCCTAGAAGGGGTACGTATAATATGTATTATTACATCATATACGTTATTTGGAATTCTTCCATATGCAGATTTGGCTCTTCTCCTCTTTCCTACTTATTTTTAAAATTAGTTTTCAAATCAGTATTATGTATTCACTTAGTTTTAAAAGTAGGCCTCATAACAACAAGCAGAAATTCGGAAATCCTGGGGAAAGAGTCGGGATGACCTGGGCTGACTTATGTGCCCATCCAGATCAATCTCGAGAGCAGGGGCCAGGTCACTTAAAAGATGGCATCTCCCATTCAGACTGATTATTAAAAATGTTTTGGCATACACATGCCCTTTTGTTTAGGGGATACTTTGGTCCCTTCCTCTGTTAATTGACCTTTCATTTACCCTTCAGCTCTCAGCTGAAGCACCACTTCATCACAGACATCTTCCCTGACCTCTCTAACTAGGTCGAATCCCAATATTATGGGTTGTCATAGTGCCTGGTACTTCTCTGTGGAAGTTATCACTGTGGCAAGTTTACATTCTTTCTAGTGTGTGAATATTTGGTTAAATGTCTATATACTCCACTAAGCTGTAAAGCTGGTTTGTTTACTACTGTAGCATGTACATGCTGTGCCTGCACACAGGTGCTGTTCGGTCAGTATATGTTAAGTGAATGGCTGGCGTGAAGGAAGTGGTTGTTCCAGAATAAAGAAAGGATGTTAGTGGGACAACAGAATCAAGGACCACTACTCAGTGAATGCAGGATAAAAGAGAGGATAGTAACCTAGGTGGGAGGGTGGTGTGGGTTGGGTATTGGCAGGAGGAGTGGGGAACGGAAAGGGTTGACAGAGAGCTGTTTGGAAGAAGGCAACAAAAGCATGTTTAACATTGCAGGTAAGGAGCTCATGGAGAGAATGGAGCAAGGTCTTGGAGGAGAGAGGAGGGACTGAAGAATTAACCATCAAAACAAGGAGGGATTGGTCTTTGCCAGGAAGAGAAGTACCTCCTCCTTCAAGACGGAAAAGGAAGATGAGTGGGGTGCAGATAAGTGCATGGGTGTAAGTATGTGGTAGTGAGGCAGGAAGGTGGACAGGGCAGGAATTTGAGGCCATCATACCTGATGATCTCATTCTCTCTAGATTGGAGTTGGGATTTTGTGAAAAATGGGCACAAGGTAGCCAACACAGTTAGAAATCTTGAGGGAAGTTTTAAAGGAGTGGAGACGCTGTTAAGGGGAGTGATAGCTGGTGGCCTTATAGGCCTAAGGGACCAAGGAGTTGAGGATACTGGCAAGAGAACAAAGGATATAGACACACCTACACCTAAGTCCTTGATGAAAAAGAGGAAAAGTCATTTCATGACAACACTGAGGAGAATAGAGGCTTGTGTAAGACAGCATAATCTCAAAGGCTGAGAGGTGAGGATGGAGAAGTAGTTATCTCTATTTAGGCCTTGGGAAACCTGGAGAATTGAGACTTCATCCCTCTTCCTTCCAAGATATGTGGAAGTATGTACAGAAGGGGAGTGCTTAAGCAAAGCCAGGTCTCTTACACAGAAAGTGGAGGCTCAGAGGTATATGAAGGGGCTGAGATTTCGGGAGTTTGTCACCATGTAATGGAGGTTTCAGAACAGGAAAGATTGAGGGGTGGGTCCATGATGGGAAGGGCTAAAAGGCAGGGAAGCAGTGGAGGGCCAGTCAACTAGGGGCAGGGAGGGGTACATCAGTGTGGTGATGAACAAATGAGAAAGGAGAGATGACCCAAAAGACCTATCTTGTGAATGATGATCCTGAGTGACAGGATGGGAGACAGTTTTTAGTGGTTCTGTTAGTCCTCTGTTCTTTTCTAGTGAGCTGGAGGAACTGGGTAGCATTAGTAATTGCTTTCAGACTGCTGCAAGCCTTAGTTCAAAATACTTATAAGTCACAAGTCATTAGCACTCCTTGGTACAGCCCAGCCCTGGAAGAAGTGAGCAGGAGTATTAAAAAAAAAAAAATGGCCAGAGTCCAGCACTGTTTGAATTGGGATCTTTCAAGAGTGAGGATGTTTTCCAGGCTCTGAAGGACTTCAACTCCCTGTAGAGACTCTAGGAAAGAAAAAGGAGACTCCCCATGCTCTCCCACAGAACAAGAGCCAGAGAAAATAGAAGGAAATGGAATCTAGAACACAGGTGGAGGGATTAAATATGGAGAAGAGGAAGGAATCCTATTCACTGGGATGGGAAGTCAGGAAAGCCAGTCCTGTGGATTTCAATTTACAGAGTGATCAATTTGTTGGAAATTACCAGTTTTGTCTGTTTACCAAAATTTTGTTTCTTTTAATTATGTGTAAAGTTTACAACAATTTTCATGGTTGGGCTGATTTTAACTACTTTTAATGATTTCTACGAAGTATCAGTTGACAATTTTTTTGAGTTTAGTTTAGCTTAGTTGTAATTCTAATTTATCTGCAGCTGTTTCACTGAAATCATTTTGCCATGGCTGGCCAAAGTTCAGTGTATTCTAAGTTTTTCCTTATTTTGGAGCTGTGACTTTGGGGAATGGGAATTTCTTGTGTATTTTACTCGGCAAGTGTTGTACAATGACTCAAATGTAAAAAAATTCATATACAATCTGGGAGGGAGTGATTCTCCCTTCCAAAATATTTTCAATCCAATAGTTTTCCTTTTTCTTTAATATTTTTTGTGCATTTATAGTTTTCATAGATATGTAGATGTAGGCTGAAATATAGCCATACTGTATTTCCATACTTATTGGTTGGTGAATAGTATAATAGTGACTACAGTAAGTAATAAAATTAATAATATAAATTATATTATAAAGTAGTTAGTCTAAGACAGTTTTTGTAAGATATGATGGCGATTGATAAATGGATCTCCTGCTATAGTGACATCTGAGAAACATTTGGACAATTTCTGCCAGTTCCATTCATATCACAATACGAATGCTGTTTGAATTGGAATGGTACATTAGGGGCAGCCCTGCTTCTCCTTGTTGTTGATTATGTAGTTGTTATTACTTCTAAGTAGTCAGGTTTTTTCTTTTGGCTTTATTATTTTTTAAATTAATAGCTTTATTGAGATATACTATATATACCATAAAGTGTATCCTTTTAAAGTGTACAATTCACAGTAATTTTTAGTATATTCATGGAGTTGTGCATTATCACCACTATCACATTTCAGAATATTTTTATCACCCAAAAAGAAACCCACACCCATTAGCAGTTACTCCATATCCTCCACCCCTCAGCTCCTGGCAACCAATAATCTACTTTCTGACTCTATGAATTTGCCTGTTCTGGACATTTTACATAAATTGAATCATACAACATGTGGCCTTTTGCATCTGGCTTCTTTCACTCAGCATGTTTTCAGTATTCAGCCATGTTGTTGCATGTATCAGTACTTCATTTCTTGCCTGAAGATATTCCCTTGTATGCATATATCACATTTTGTTTTTCTTTTCATCAGTTGATGGACATTTATGTTGTTCCCACTTTGGGGCTATTATAAGTAATGCTGCTATGAACACTTGTATATATATTTTTGTGTGGACACATCTTTTCTCTTCTTGGGTAGATACCTAGGAGTGGAATTGTTGGTATGGTATATATTACAGTTCTATGTTTAACATTTTAAGGAAATATTTGAGAAAATTTGCCAAACTATTGCTAAAGCAGCTGCACTATTTTACACTTCCACCACTAGTAAATGAAGGTTCATTTACTGGTCAAACAACAAGTGTCAAACACTTGTTGGCAAGGATATGGAGAAGCTGGAACCCTCATTTACTGTTCATCATTCTGCTGTTATCCAGCTGGATATAAAGTGATATGTTGTTATGGTTTTGATTCCCATTTCTCTAATAACTAATGATGTTGAGCATCTTTTTTTGTTGTTGTTGAGATGCAATCTCACTCTGTCACTCAGGCTGGAGTGCAGTGGTGCAATCTCGGCTCATTGCAACCTCTGCCTCTCAGGTTCAAGCAGTCCTCCCACCTCAGCCTCCTGAGTAGCTTGGATTACAGGCATGCACCACTATGCCCAGCTAAATTTTTTGTGTTTTTAGTAGAGACAGGGTTTCACTATGTTGGCCAGGCTGGTCTCAAACTCCTGACGTCAAGTTATCCACCCAGCTTGGGCTCCCAATGTGCTGGGATTACAGACGTGAGCCACTACGCCCAGTGGAGCATGTTTTTACATGTTTATTGATCATATATATATATATATATCTTCTTCTGTGGTTTCTTTCAAGATTTTCTCTTTGTCTTTGTAAGTTTCACTATTATATGCCCAAGCATAGATTTTGTTTTCAGCGTTTATCATGCTTGGTGTTCTCTGGGCTTCCTGGGTCTGTGGCTTGCTGTCTGTCAGTAATTTTAGAAAATTCTCAGCCATTATTACTTCAAATATTTATTTTCTTGCTTGCTTGCTTTCTCTTTTTTCCCTTTTTTTTCTTTTCTCCTTCCTTCCTTCCCTTCCCTTCTTCCTCTCCTACCCTCTCCTGTCCTCTCCTCTCCCCTCCTTTTACTCTTCTTCTCTCCTCTTTTCTCCCCTCCCTTCCCCTCCCCTCCTCTCTCTCTTTCTTTCTTTCTCTTTCTCTTTCTCTCTTCTCTGGTATTCCCATTACATGTATGTTATACCTTTTGTTATTGTCCCACAGTTCTTAGATATTCTGATTCACTTTTTTTTCATTCCTTTTTTTCTCTTCGCTTTTCAGTTTGGAAAGTTTCTATTGATATATCTTTGAGCTCGCTGATTTTTCCCTCGGCCATCTCCAGTCTAGTGATGAGTCCATCAAATATATTATTTATTTCTATTACACTGTTTTAAATTTCTAACATTTCCTTTTGATCGTCTCTTAGAGTTTTTTTTGCTCTGCTTACATTATCCATCTTGTATGTTATTCAGTTTTCCCATTAGAGGCCTTAGCATATAATCATATTTATTTTACATTTCCAGTCAGATAATTCCAAAATCTATGCCATATGATTCTGGTTCTGTTGCTTGCTTTGTATTTTCAGATTGTTTTTTGTTTGTTTGTTTGCCTTTTAGCCTATCTGGTAATTTTTTTTGTTATTGTTGAAACTGGATATGATGTATCAGGTAAAAGGAAATGAGGCAGATAGGCCTTTAATGTGAGGTTTTATGTTTATCTGGCTAGGAGCGAGGCTGTGTTTACCACTTGCTGTAGCCATGGTGTCAGAAGCTAATACCTAGTGTCCTTATTTTTGTCTTCCCTTTTTCCTTTGGGTTTTCCTAGAGACTCCTTCTTAAATAGGATCTGAGACTTGCAGTTCTTTTAGCTGTAACCCTTGTTATTATTCAGGAGCCTACTGATGCCGTGAGAAGGTTGGGGTTGAGGAGGGAAGCATTATATAGTCTTATAGCTATGTCTCAGTCTTTTAATGAGCCTATGCCCTTGGGCTATGACCTTGACAAGGTAGCTGCTTCTCAGCTTCCTCACTCCACTGTAGAGAGACAGGAAGGCTGAAGGGGGCTGAGGTTGAGCATTTCCCTTCCTCCATGTTGGTTAGGCTTTGGTAAAACTTAAGTTGGTTAGGCTGTGGTAAAATAGTTTTCTTTGAGTGTAGGCCTTGTTAAGAACAGAGAGCTCTGGGTATATTTCAGCTTTGTTACTTTTTCTGTCCCCCTGCTGGACACATGAGGAAATTTTCTCTAGTCTTCAGTGAGAACCTCGTGGGACTTCGAGTTCTTGTTAAACCAAAACTGACTGTATATCTTCTTTGGAAAAAAAAATCTCTATTTAAATCCTTTGCCCATTACATTTTTTTTCTTGTTGAGTTGTTGTAAGGATTTTTTTTTTTTAATAAGATGGAGTCTCACTCTGTTGCCAAGGTTGGAGTGCAGTGGTGCAATTTTAGCTCACTGCAACCTCCACCTTCCGGGTTCAAGGGATTCTCTTGCCTCAGACTCCCAAGTAGCTGGGATTACAGGCACCCGCCACCACGCCCGGCTAATTTTTTGTATTTTTAGTAGAGACAGAGTTTCACTATGTTGGTCAGAATGGTTTTGAACTCCTGATCTCAAGGGATCCACCTGTCTCAGTCTCCCAGAGTGCTAGGATTACAGGTGTGAGCCACTGCACCCGGCTGTAAGGACTATTTAGATACAAGAATTCTATCCCTAGATACAAGTTCCTTATCAGATATGTGATTTGCATATATTTTCTCCCATTTTGTGACTTTTCATTTCCTTGATAGTGTGCTTTGAAGCATAAACATTTTTAATGTTAATGAAGCTAAATTTATCTGATTTTCCTTTTGTTGCTTGTGATTTAGGTGTCATATCTAAGAAATCATTGTCGAAGGTCAAGAAGATTTACCGCTGTGTTTTCTTCTAAGAGTTTTAATAGCTTCAACTCCTACATTTAGGTCAATGATCCATTTTAGTTAGTTTTTGTATATGTTGTGAGGTAGCAGTCCAATTTTATTCTTTTGCATGTGGATATCTAGTTGTCTAAGCATCATTTGTTGAAAAGACTTCTCTTTTATTTAATTTTCTTATTTTTGTCAGAAATGAATTGAACAGAAATGTAATGGTTTACTTCTGAACTCTCAATTCTGTTCCACTGATCTATATGTCTATAGATGCCAGTACCACACAGTCTTGATTATTATGTTGTAGTAAGTTTTAAAATCTGGAAATGTG